GCCTTATGTCAGCCCCTGCAGACAGCTTCTGGCTTTGGAAGAGAAGCGCAGATTTGTTCTGCACGCGTGCCAGGAGCCCGAAGAGAATTAGGGCCTTCGCAGCACGAGCAATAGCGCCTGTTGCTCTTAAGGGTGCTCTTCGTAATGTCTGTGGATCAGCCTGCCTCTCACCTCTTGTGATCATTTGTCTTTAAAAAAAAAAAAAAAACCAAACCAAAAACAAACGGGGAAGGGCGTATATCGGGTGTAAGGGTATATTGGGGAGCCTGGTTTGGCAGCAATACCGCTGAAAAGAGTCTGTAGGGCAATTATTTATGGGAGAGAAGGAACACTAGCTGGATATTCTGTCAGTGTGTAGTTCAACTGTCATCTTACGCTGACTTGATGTCTCGTCTCCCTGAGGTGCCAACGATGGCTGTAGAGAAAGTCTTTGTGTACAACAACACATCCATTGTGCAGGATGAAATTCTAGCTCACCGCTTGGGCCTCATCCCTATCCGAGCTGACCCTCGACTCTTCGAATACAGAAACCAAGGTGAGAGTCTTGGATCAAATAGAAATGTTGAAGATTTCCCCCAAAGCAGGAAATCGGGGTCACGTAAACTGAGCAGAAGTGTGATTCTGTAGAGGCTCACGCTGTTCTCCCCTTACCAGGAGATGAAGAAGGCACAGAGATTGATACTCTGCAGTTCCAGCTGAAAATAAAATGCAGCCGAAACCCTCAGGCAGCCAAGGAATCATCTGATCCTAATGAATTATATTTCAATCACAAAGGTAAGATCTCTCCTAAAAATAGGTACTGTTTTCTTTTCTTTTTTGGTCTTAGGAGACAGGATTTGGTCTATTCTCTCAGCCCTGTGAGCAGAGAGAGACGATTCCCTCGTTCTGCTAAACTTACTTTTTGCCATCTCCAGTCCTGTACATGTCAGCAACCTGTTTTGAGACAGCAGCTGGCTGATGCTTGTGGCTTCTCTTCGCAGTGTACAGTAAACACATGACGTGGGTGCCCTTGGGGAATCAGACAGACCTCTTTCCAGATGCTGACTTCCGACCTGTTCACGATGACATCCTCATTGCACTGTTGCGGCCTGGCCAGGAAATAGATGTGCTTATGCACTGTGTCAAGGGTATAGGTGAGTCGTGGGTCCTGGGGCAGCAGGAGGAGGAGTGTGAGTGCTTGGACTAGGGCACAGCTGTGTGAAGGGGAAGGGTGGAGAACTGGCTTTCCCCCTGGAACTTTAGGTCCCGGCATCCTTGCACTCTCATTCCTTGAGGCCTGCCCTTATCCTTAACTCTTTACTCTTCATGCAGGTAAAGACCATGCCAAGTTTTCTCCTGTGGCCACGGCTAGTTACCGACTGCTTCCTGACATTACTCTCCTGCAGCCTATTGAGGATGAGGCAGCTGAGCTGTTGCAGAAATGCTTTTCCCCTGGAGTCATTGAGATCCAGAATATCAAGGGTACTTTTTTCCTGCTCTGAAGTGCTTTTTTCCTTACAAGCCTTAGCAGCGACTGATCAGAGACTAGAGCCAAACCCATGTTGTGCTGTCTTGCCGATCAGAAACCATTCATGGTATTCTGAGCCTGGTTTTACGGATGAGTGGCTGTCACATGCAGATGTGTTGGGTGATGAACTGGGATCTCCCTGAAATGTTGAGGCATTGGGTGCCTGCCTGTCTGCAGAGCCCTGCGCCTGCTGATGGCAGCTTCCAGTACTGTTCAACTGTTTGTAAGACTGGGTAGTGGGCTTGCTCTTTCCAGCAGCTGAGCGTGGAGAAGACTTCTTGTGTCCTGCCCAGGGGTACATACAAGCTTTGTGTTTGGGTTGGAACTGTTCAAGAAGACCAGTTCTGTCAGGTTGGAGTTTCATGTTGGGGATGTGCTAATTCTTCATATTTATGGCTTTGCTGCCTTTGCTGATGGGGGAATGCATGTTTTGAGGGGTAAGCACCTGCCGTGACCACAAGGCACCCCTCTGCTACAGGCACCCATCTTGTTTCATCTTTTCCCCTTTAGGAAAAAAGGTGGCAAGAGTAGCCAATGCACGGTTGGACACGTTCAGCAGAGAAGTTTTCCGTCACGAGGGCCTGAAAAACCTTGTGCGCCTGGCAAGAGTGCGAAATCATTACATCTGTAAGTGCCCCATTTTCCGCAGAACACAGAGCCCTGCCTGGTTTGTACAAACAAGCAAAGACTGGCCAGCATGTATAACTGGGTCTCTGCCTCCTCCTCCCCCACCATCATCAGCCATCATACATTCATATTCCAGTGGGTAACTACTGATGTTGTGGTTTGGTGTTGCTTTGGGATCGAATGTGTTTGTGCGTCCTGCCGGCAAATGTAACCTCTTCTCCCCTGGCTGTGAAGATCCGGCTTGTCAGAAGTGCAGCGTAAGGGAAGATAAGGGCCAGGAATGCTGGAGCCAGGTGTAGGCTGAAGCTGTGTAGTGGCTGTGCTGACTTGTGTCTCTGTGCAGTTTCAGTGGAGTCGACGGGTATCTTGCCTCCAGATGTGCTGGTGAGCGAAGCCATCAAGATCCTGATGGGAAAGTGTCAGCGCTTCCTGAATGAGCTGGACTCTGTGCCTATGGAGTGACCAGGCTGTAGCTGGGAAGCATATCCCTGCACTGCTGGTCTGGGCTTCCTGCACCTGCCTGCAGGGGCGATTCGTCTTCTGTGGCAACGAGGTTTGAGATGGGCTTGTTAAGTCCTAGGTCCTAGGACCATCTCTTTGAATTTGTTTGCCATTGGTAATGAGCCTTAGTGAGGAGATGCACTAAAATAAAGGCTTTTCTTTACAGCTGTCTCCTTCTGTGCTGTTCACATTTGTAAGACCGTAATACACAGAGAAGAAAGTTGTAACGGGTTTAAAGATGAATATTAGCATTTATTTTAGATTGCACGCAGTATGTGAAAAGGACTGATATGGCAGTGTAGTAAAGCACTTCGCAGCAGGTCAGTGAGATTTAATAAGTCAGTATCAGTGCAGAACTGTTTTGCAGGTGTCTCAAACCAGCTCCAGGGTAGTTAACGTGGTAGATAAAAAGGCTGTAATGTCCCAGGGCTGGAACACCTCTCCTATGAAGAAAGGCTGAGAGAGTTGGGGTTGTTCAGCCTGGAGAAGGGAAGGCTCCAGGGAGACCTTATTGCCACCTTTCAATATATTAAAAGGGCACGGAGAAAGACTTTTCATCAGGGCCTGTAGTGACAGGACAAGGAGCAACAGTTTTAAACTGAAAGAGGGTAGACTTAGACTGGACATGAGCCTTTTTTTTATGACGAGGGTGGTGGTGAGATGCTGGAACAGGTTGCCCAGAGAAATTGTGGGTGCACCATCCCTGGAGGTGTTGAAGGTCAGGTTGGATGGGGCTTTCAGCAACCTGATCTAGTGAAAGATGTCCCTGCCCATGGTGTGGGGGGGTATGGACTAGATGGTTTCTGACAGTCCGTTCCAGCCCAAATCATTCTATGATTCTATGGTACAGTACTGGGCTTCTTCTCTGTGCAAAGGTGAGGTGTGAAAACATACTCTGTTAAGGACCGACTGTCCCTTCTTAAATAGCTCAAGGTAAGGCATTTCTTCCCAGATGTTAGATTTGACTACTCTGTTCTCCCTTACAGTGACTGAACATACTTTGGGCTGACCTGGAAGCAGAACTGGATGGTGGAGGGCAAGTGACACTCAAAGGCCTGTCTCCAGCCAGGGAAGCCTGGGAGCACTTGCAAGTTAGTCTCAGGGTGAGCACTGCTGTTAGTCCACACCGGGTAGGTCAGCTTGTGAAAGTCTCTCTTGACAAGCTGATGAAGGAACTGGAACTTCAGAGAACGGCTGGGAGCACTGGTCCGTCCCAGTTACTAAAGTCAATCCTCACTACAATGCTAGAATTTAGCGTAGCAAAGCATAGTTTTTCTCTATCTGTTTCACTGGGCTGTAGTTATGTATACTGTAAACATCCTTTAGGTGTTACTCCTATTTGAAACATTGCAATTTCTAGCTGGATCTTCTCAGTTTAAACAAGCTGAAGCAGGTTCCATGCCGCACTGGATTACAGCTGGGGCCTTGGAAAAAGGTTTTGTAACAAAAACTTAACATTGATGTTGCCCAGGCCCGCCTCTTTCAGGGCTTCTGCTTTTGTTGTAAGAGAGACCTTTCATGCAACTTTCATCAGGTGAGGGGACAGACCAACGGCAACAGCTACATCACCTTCCTGTGTTACTGAAAAGGTCAGCCGAGAGAGTTATGGCTGAACTACAGTACTAGCACAAGACAGTGCTCTTCCCCGCAGTAGCTAGGGTTGGGCTTGGAGGCTACTTTAGTAGCACACATACCTTTCTGTGCTATTGCTTCACGTATTTCCTGTATCGCTTATGGGACATACCCTGGAATAGCCATGCCAAAGGGTTTCGCTTTGGCAACGGGTACCCTTCAAGCTCTAAACTGGGACCTAGCGGCTGTTGTGGAATTAATATAAACCAGCTGTGAGTGACATAAATACTTTAAAATGCAATTTTTCCCCTTGCCTTCTAGTTTAATTACATACTCTGGAATGGTTCATCCCCTCCCTGATAATATATGTTGACTAGCAGCAAAGGTGCTTTTTGGTAGCTGGAATAAGGAGTGCTGAACAATCCTTAGGGAGGCAGTCTGGGCAGAGCAGAGGCCTCAGATCTTACTGAAACAGATAAAAGAATAAAAATGAAACCATGACACTATGTGTATGAAACTGGAATAGCTTTACTGACATTCAGAGGTGTAACACAACAGTTCAGAGACAGCTTCGGATTTAAACATTCCTACAAAAAAGGTTCTAAAAAACCATTTAAAAAAACCAAAACCCCTTGTGTCTAGCATGAAGTCACAGAATGTTAAAAATATCACAACACAATAAATACACCCAGCCTTTGCCAGAGCCAGGAGCCACGTTAGCTCAGAGGTTAAAAAAGTTTGAGGCCAGGAGGAAAGTGGAAGATGCTGGTGGAACAGCAGGGGCAGGAGGGTGAGTAGATTCCCACGGCCTGCTCGTCCCTTCTGTGCTCCCACCCCTCCCGACCCCAGCTTTTCTGTCCAGTCTGTTCAAGTGGAGACATCACCTCCTCTGCCTGCCACAGTTTGTTACTTGTTCTGTCTCCTGGATGGCAAAACTGCTGGCTAGCTCTGGACAGACCCTCCCAGCTCCTGTGCTAACACTAGGATAGATAGAGCGAACCATTTGTCATGTAAGAACCAGCTTTCCAGACTGGAGTGGTTTGATAGAGTGAGTTCCACCTCAGCTAAAACCCAGTTTCTGACCTGGCTCCCCCCGTGTAAACTGCAGTATAAACCCCACCCCTCCTGCCCCACCACGCAATTCTCCGAGAAGTACCAGACTGGGTAAAAACAAGGGCTACTGCCACCTCTACAGCAACAGGGTGAGGAGATCCCTTTTGGTTTGCAGGTGCTTCAGATTGGTCCAGATTTTGTGTACCCTACACTGGCCATGTTCTAGTCTACAGGGCATGGTAAAAAGAAAAAATAGTAATAAAAAAAAAGAAAGACCCTGCCCTGCTCCCCCTGAGAGATGTCCAAGAAAGGCTGGCACAAAGTAAAAGCCTTCCATTTGGCTCTGGGTAGAACAAGCTGTATGATGATATATATACACATATGTATGTATATATATGTATGACAGTGTCTGCCTCTTTCTAGAGAGCAGCTGCACCTTAGAAAGGCTGACCTCGAGGGAGATCCTAGAGCACTGCTAGGCTTCCTGGCACGCAGCCCTCAGCCCAAGGCTCAGCATCCTGGAGGGAAATGGATTCATCAGAATACCAGTCCGCTAGGGACAAGTGCTGACAGGCGCAACAGGAGTGTCTGATGTGTTCCGTACAAAGCTTGGCTGCTAGCACCCAGAGGAACGTGAGGGTAGCCCCTTGTCACGTGGCATGCTACTCTTGCCTTTTGCATTAGACCTAAACCCCAAGGGATGAAGAAGTGGAGCAAGAGTGACCCAGGGCTACAGGATGACCAGGCTTTACCTAACAGAGTCTATGGGCTCAGCTCCCACCCTGCAGAGAAGCAGAGGTCTAAAGATGCTCATCCAATGGAGGGGAGGGGAAGGAATCAGGGAAAGCTTAATAGACTGGTTCAAGTGCCACCGCAGGCCCCGTCCCAGCGTAGGGAGGAGAATGGGACAGGACCCGTAAGGGGCTTTATTCAGACGAACGCTTGTGGAGGCGATGACAAGGAGAATCTAATGTGCTTACTATGAGGAGAGACAAAACAGAAGGTAGGGGAGGAGACAGTTGCAGCATCCAAGGCTCAGGGCTCAAAGAGTGCAGTGAGGCCCTCTCCATCCTCATTTTCTAGCACATCCGTCTCCAGTGATGGCTTCACCTTTTTGAAGAGAGATGGGAGGTTCCGGATATGAACCTCCTTGCGGAACTGCTCCCCGAGGGGCTTCTGCAGAGGACAGACAGGCAGGCATCAGTCATTACTGCCTTCATAGCCCCACTCAACTCAGGGGCTGCCTGCTTGCAGATCAGAGGCAGACCCCAGATTCTGAGCAATCCCCAGGCCTGGACTCGTGCTTGCATTTTGGGGAATCTCAGGCCTGGTGCTTCCCAAGTGCCAGGGCACCAAGGTAACCACCAGTGCACCAGCTCCCCGGCTTTTAACTCAATGTACCAGACTCGAACGCCACCATCCTCATGAAAGCCCAGCACCCATCTAGCACCTTCATTCAAACATTTTAACACCCTGTTTGCCCGGACACCCTTGTGCGAGGTACCCCCTGCCTCTCAGTGAGAAGTCATTGCTGGAGGGGCTGCTCAGTGTGTGCTCCCATCCCCACCGTACCTCCAGGTTGAAGAGAGACAGAACACTGAGAATATGCTGCAACAACTTCCTGGCTGGGAAGGGGGGTGGCTGCGGAGAGGCAGGTAGACTGGCTGCCCCATCACTTCTGCAGGGTACAGGCATGAAACGAAACAGGTTCATTTTCCTCCAGGATATCACCTACCCCAATGCAACCTGTGATGAGGCGCTTGAAATGATCCTTCCGGCGCTTGTCTGCCACCTTCTGCAGTGTTGGGTTGAGAAGCTTTGAATCAAACTGCTCCAAAGAATCCCGCTGGATGTCCGGGATCTGCTCCATCACTGCCTTCAGCTCAACGTAGCGAGGGCGCTGCAGGGAGAAGTATGGTTAACGCAGCTCTGCTAGAGGAGCGGCCCTGCCCTCCTTGGACGGCCATTAGCTCCTCTGCCCCTCCTCAAGCGGGCACGGGATTAGTTTTCCACCACTCCTCAGCCAACCTGGGATCTGGACGAAGAGCAGAATTTCTCACCAAGGCCTCGTAGATCTGGAAAGCCAGGTGAACAAGAGCTGCCATGCAGCCATCGTGCTGCCCGTGTGTCTGTAAGCCCTTCAGCACACTTGTGAAAAACCAGGACACAGCGTCAGGCAGGAGGTTTCCTGGAAGCACCTGGGGAAGAGGCACTGTCAGCATGGAAGCAGGACACTGATACATGACTGCCTTTCTGCAGCAGCTTGCTCCTCCCGAGGGAGAAGGTGCTCAGGGTGAAGGAGCCACACTTTCTCACTACATTCAGAGCTTCCTCTCCCAACCCTGCCAGAACTAATCCCTTCTTCCTCCCAGAGGTACCTGTTTGAGCAGCGGCCAGCAAAGCTGTGTTGTGGTTCTTTGGCACGACAAGGTGTCCTTCCAGGAGAGGGATGCATAGGCAGTGATCAGCAGTGCAGTGCAAACATCCTGAAAAGGAGTCAGAGAGGGAAACCAGTCAGAGAAACAATTTCCCACCTCCAGGGTTCAAACCTGAGGGGAGCCAAGAAGCAATCCAGGGACTCTGCAAGAGCTCCTTGAGGCTATCTTCTGAGAATCCTGTGTGCTGCTGCTGCTCCAACTGAAGGTGCTCAAAGGCACCCAGTGCGCACCATCATAGCCATGAGGAACCAATGTCAAGCAAACCTGCTCCCTTCATGTCCCCTGGAAAGGCCCCGGAGCACCCATCTGCGCTCCTGTGTCCACAGGAGAGGAGGCGTATCAGGATGGAGGTACTCTGCACAGTGGGTTGTGTTAACACTTCGGCTCCTGTGCCACCTCTGGCAGATTTTACAGAAAAAAAAGAGCTGCTGAGTGAAGTTCTTCCTCGTGAAGGCTGAAGTCCAGGATGGAGGCAGAACCAGAGAACACCCTGGGGGCTGAATGCCCAGGGCCTTGCCCACAGAAGGGCTGAAACTCTGTAGCTGCATGTTATACTGGATCCCAATTCCCATTTGCTTTGGTGGCTTCTGCAACCATTAACGAGGCCCTTACAGAACACCTATGTTCCCGAGAGAAGATTCTCACACTGGGGAATGCTCCGGCAGCCTAGATCTCTGTAGCAGCACCTGGCTGCACAAGCGTGACACAGAGTAGAGGGAAAGGATGGTGGAAGTCAGAGCATGTGCTCTTACCTCCTGCTTCATCAGACACTTGCCGAGCTCGGTGAGCTCTGCACTGGCAGGGGGAGTCACCTCCGTGGCCATCGCCTCATCATCTGTAGAGCAGAGCAAAGGAAGCACCGTGAACATGGCCTCCCCAGCACTGAAGGAGACACAGGGAGGCACAGTGAGAACTAAGCTGGGAACCAGGGGACAGCACACAGAATCAATATGCCGGCACAGCCTGCCGGAACATCTCTCTCCAAGCAGAAAGCACCCACCCTTTGTGGGGCAGGAATGGCACCCAGCTAGCTACCTCCAGCTCTTGGGAGGACCATGCACACCCCTCTCTTCTCCTCAGGCCTCTTCTTGGTACCTTGAGAATCAACTGCTCTAACATGCTACCTGTGAACCCTACAGCGCATTTGTTCCTAGGCTAGACTGGGCTTTTCCTGTGGCCCCCAGGCACACTGGGCAGGACAGAGCTGAAGGCTCCTTACCAAACCTATACCCCTCCCACAGAACTTCCAGCAACAGGCCAGCCTCTCCCTCAAGAAACGCATGAAGCAATGGGAAAAGCGCTTGCACACACCAAGGGGAGGAAAGGCAAAGGTGGGCATTTACTCACCGTCTCCGTCTACAGCAGCAGTAGTGTTATGCTCAACACCTTTCTTAGACACACAGCAAACAGCTGCAAAGACAGTTGCAGGTCAGAGGAGCAGAAAAGGGAAGATGCTACTTCAGAACACGCAGAGATTATCCTACAGACTCTGACAGGCTCACAGCTGCTTCAGGCTCCCCCAGCTCTTACACAGTACCTGAAGAATCTGAAAGCCCAGTATAAAAGCCAAATACTGTGCCAAATACTGGAAGGCTGAAACACCCCACTCACAGCACTCTCCCACAGTGGAACCTGCTGCACGGTGGCTGCTTCCAACCACTGAGAATCAGGAATATGCAAAACCAGTTGAAGCCTGTAACCTGAGCAGCAGCATCTTAAGGCAACAAGGCAGATCAAGGAGATGCAAGGTTGAGGACCTGTAATTTCTAGGCACAGTCAATTTTCCCAGCCTCTGTGCTCAAAGCCACACTGGCAAAAACACACTGTTGGAGAAAGGGAACACAAAGGAGATTGCCTGGGGGGAGGGACTCTTCCCTTCTGTCTGGCTAGAGATGTGGCAATTGCCAGCAGCAAAACTGCTCTACACTCGGGTTGTCCACAAATCAGTGTCCCACATCGGGCTCCAGGGCACAGAAAGGGAGAACCCAGATTCCAAAGGAGGACTGGACTCCTACAGGGACAGTGCCAAAACCATGGAGCCCTAAATGAAAGCAAGCAAACAAGCTCTTCTGAAGGTTTTTAATTGATCTCTTACTAGCTTTTAGCTAAAATTTTGGCAGGGTTAACTGTCTCACACCTAGCTTCTAAGGATTATGTTAAATACTACTGCCCATTATAATTAAGTTTTATTGCACATTGGAAATTGCTATTGTCCTTTCCAGGGCAAACTTCCCAAATATCCAAGGGGACCTAGCTTGATTTCACTTACTGATGAGATCCATGACTTCTCGGGTCAGCAGCCTGACCAGCTGTTCCTCAAGCATCTCCTGAGACTCAGGGTTGTCATCTGCAGCATCATCCTCACTGAGGAGAACAGGTTTTAGTGTGAAGAGACCCAGTATCTTAAAAGTATCCCCTCTGCCCAAGCACAGGGAGTGAGTCACCATCAGGGTAAACACAGTGTTTTCCAGCCCTCTGCTGGCAGGGCAAAGGGCCAAAGCTCCGCTTCCCATTTCCCCCTTTCAGTACTCATATCAAGGGGTGAAAGCTTACCAGAGCATGCTTCGCTGGCTGATCACCTGCCATTTCTGAGACAACCTCTGTTCAAGACAAAAAGGAAGATTCAGTACCTTCCTAAGGAGCCATGCTGGACACAATGCAAAGAGGCCCAACTGACAGCTGCTGATAGAAGCACAAGAGCTTTAAGCACAGCTCTCATGCCAAGCCCGATTTTGAATGGGACAAGAACTGCTACCAACTGCACTGAAGATGCTGTGGCTGTGCTGACTGTAGGAATCTGAGTGAGATGTCAGGAAAATGAGGGGACACAGGCAAAAAAAAACCCACAAAAATTCTCAGACCTGAAGGTTGAGGAGCTGGTATCCACAGGTTTGAATTCACAGCAAGGGTGCTGTGCAACAGTCAGGGTTCAACGCACCTCAAACCCCCCCCTAAACAGCATCAAAATCATTAAGCATTGAAGCTCTGCCCTTGTCTCTGCTGGCTTTGGAAAGACAGACATTCTCACATGTTGCTGCCAGCTGCTACAAAAAGTCTGGGCTGCCAAGGAACAGGTGTCAAACAAGCTGTTTTCTTACCATGTGCAGATAGGTAAAGAGTGGTCCCAGCATGGGGCAGACAAGGGTTTCGTAGTTTTCTGAAGGGCAGGAGAGTACCAAGGGCTTCACAAACACACCTGCACGGACCAGTTAAGGAAGAGACCCAGCACATATAGCCAGCTGCTAGGGAGACTGCAGCACACTGCCCAAACCAGCCCATTCCACTGGGAAGCCAAGTGACAAGACACCTCAAAGCCCATCTTATCACAGCCCTGAATTAACAAGTGGCATCTCTACAGAGCAAGAGCATGAGGTATTCAGCCTCTTCCCCTAATAACTCAGCTGAGAAAGCTGAGGGTGCTTAGCGCCCATTTCCTAGCTGTGAGACTGAATGTCCAGCCCTGGGAAGTGGGCTGGGAACCCCAGATGGTCTCTCACACAAGCACAAAGTCTAGTCAGACACCCTAGTGCCAAGCTCCTACACCGTCCAAGCCCCCTTGCTCCCCCGAAGGCACTACCCACCTCTCATGGTGCCTCCAGGACCACACAAATCCTTTGCATTTATTCTCTCTGACCCCATGCACTGCTGTTTCTGCTCATGCTCTCCTAGGCTCACACCTCATCCACAGCAAGTGGATGTTTGTTTACCTCCTCAATCACCCTTCTTTGGCTTGGCCATACTGAAAACAATGCTAGGAAGCCACCAGGTTTTCAATGTACATGCTCAAAGCCTCCCTAGCTGGCCTGAGACAGTGACAGAAGGATATGGAGCATAGGACGCAGTCTGTAATCAGGAATGTTGTTGAGGTTGATGAAAGCTGAACTAAGGAGCTGGGTGGCGAGACCTTCAACGGTGTAGAAATCCTGTTGCATGGAGGGACCTGCATTTCCCAGGATGTGGAAACTTCAACAAAAACAAGTTAGTTGCAACTCTGTTAGATAACAGGTACCATGTCTCTGGCCTGCAAAGGCTGCAAGTACTATAATCTTGAGACAAGATAGCTACCATGTTCTTAAACAAATACTACAGAGGAATTTTAGCATGGTATCACTTTTTTTCTGGGATACCTGCAGAGGGACAATGAATTAAGCATTTAAGCACTAAAATGCACTTTCAAGTGCTGATGTATCCTAACACACAATTAAAAATGGCAGAGACACAAACTCGGTCAGGATATCAGATAAGTGCTCCAATCCGACTACCTAACTGCAGAAGAGCTAAAAAGCAGACCATATTTTGAGGTACTTTTTCCAGCAACTGTGTGTATGTGGTAGGTTACAACCACTGAGTATAGTTCACCACTGCAACTCGTACTTGGATATTGTAAGATACAGCTCACATGAAAAATCTAATTCTAGAAGTCAGCACCCAGCAACAGCCTACTGCTCCAGCTGTGCACTGTTTGATTGTGTGTGGGATATCTGGTGCTCTTACCAGTTGTCGTAGAGGGTACAAAAGAAGCCCTGCATCCTTTCTAGGACCGTTTTGTAAACAGGAGAGTCATAAAGCTCCAGCAGAGGCTGAGGGAGACCTGTGGGAAAGAATAAGCTTCAGCTATGAGAGAGCACAGCGCACCTTCAGAATGTGCTGGGCAGGCCCCAGCCAGCCTGACAGCAGCGAGGGAAGTGCTTGGCAAGATCAACATGCAGCCAAATGGGAAGAGGTGCAGCAACCCTGGGGCAGAACCTCCCCTCAGAGGTCAGCCAAGTTCAGGTCGGTTGTACCCAGAGCAGAGGTGTTCCCACTAAGGCGGTTAGAGCCCCCTCACTTCTCCAAAGCAAAACTTACTGCAGCTATCGGAACGCAGTCAGAAGCAAAGCTGACAGTTGTGCAGCCCCTCTCATAGCCCATCCCTTCAGGTTTGTATTCATCTCTGTTGGGACACAAGCTACTGCTGAACTAGGATATTAAAAAGTTTAGAGCAGGCATCAAGGCTCTGCTGCTTTATGTGCAGTGGTTCAGAGACAGAGAGTTTATAGGTCACAGAAAACAGGTAAAGGAAGCATCTCCTCATTTTTGCAGACAGGAAATGGAGATAAGAAAGACAAAGCAACTTCCCTAAAACATTTCACTGTCTGTCAGAACCTGAAATTAACCCCCAATTTCCAGAGTCATGGTCCACACTTTATCCACAAGGCCACCCACTTCTGCTTGGTTGGAAGGCTTCTGTGTTCACAAGCTCAAACCTGTTTTAAGATGGTTCGAAAAGCCTCCTTCTAATATACCGCCTGGAAACAAATGACAGGGCCATACTGCAGGACTTGGCTCTTGTCCTCCAGGACAGGTCTCTGCACCAGCACTCAGGGATCCTGGTGAGCACTAATTCTGCTCAAAGGCAGACAATTACAGCACCCCCAGTCTCTCCAGCCTGAAATGTCGTGTTGCAGAGACCACCACCCAGCTGGGATAAGCAGTTTGGTAGGGTACCCTTCATTTCACGCAGAAGAAACCAATTTGTCTGAGACCAATAACTTTTTTAGCTTCTTCATTTCAGCAGGTTCAAATCATAGCTGAGCTGCGAATACTGCGAAGAAGCTAGTTCTTCAGCCCCTCTTCACTTCCACTGCTACTGATCGACTACTACCTCAAACGCCTCTGAGAATCTGCCCACACATTCCTCCTGAAGAGAAGCCCCTTACCTAGGATGGCATTCTTCTCCACCTCCAGCATGTCTAAGGCCTTTGCAAATGTCTCCCCCAGCCTAGCCACCATCTCTGGCATGTAGAGATTGTTGTGAGTCCTGAAACAGAAGAGCACTTGGTTTATACTCGTGTGGGTCAACCCCTTTTGCCCTTGACAGTGGGATCCTCTCCTTCAGCTTGTGAACAGCTCCTCTGAGGCAGATGATGAGGAAGGTGAGACCAAGCACGTGTGCATGGGATCCCCCTTCCCCACCTGCAAAAATATTGGGGAAGCTGACCCGACAGAGACATGGAGTGACTCCACCTCATGTCCTGAATCTCCTGGCTGCCCCTTCCACTTATTTCAGTTCACCCCACCCCTTGCAAGCACTGGCAGTAAAAACTCCCAGCAATTCTCCAGTCGATGCTGGCAACAGCTTATTAGCTTGGCCAAAGGGATCAGAGAATGTATTTTAAAAACTGACAAGACACGGATTCTGTAATCTCAAAAGATCTTCTGCACCTAAGGCCCCTGCAGAGGGAGGGGCTATTTCAGCTCCAAAATACACACACTGCCCCCCAGGGATGGGTCACAGTCCCCAGAATGGCAGGTGGCATTGGAGGGACTCTAGGGAGAACATCAGTCCGATCAGATGTTACTCGTGGCAGACACATGTGCCCCCTGGACAACACATCCAGCTGGGAACAATTCCGCATCATCAGGAGGCGGCCACAGTCAGCTCTCCGTGAGGGACACCAATTCAGCCACGGGTGGCTGGTTCTTGCCATCCAGGCCAAAATGGGTCCCCTCTTAGCCAGGGTACCGACACTCAGAGCTGGACTCGGCAGGGGGTGTCTCTCTCACCTACCTCTCTCCTTTGAGACCTCAGACCTCCACTCTGGGTGTCGCCAGCTGCACACAGCACAAATCCTGCAGCCTCCTCCAAAACTGCAATGCCATTGTACCTGCTGCTAGAGGTGATCAAGGGCAACTCAGTATCTCCCCCTAGAGCAGCGTTTCCCAAAGCAGGGGGGTACATGGGAATGGCTGGGGGAAGGGAGCACGGACAGACCTCAGTATTGTCTCCAGAGTCTCAGCTTTCACTCATGTCTTAATGAATTTTTAAATTTTTTTTTGGAAGGTCTCTGTTCACAATCCTGGTAACCCTGATGCAGTGACGTCTGCCTGAGTTTGCAGAGAGCCTGAGTTAGCTCCAAAACAGCAACTATCCCATTTCTCTCTGCAAGTGTTAAAATACTTCCCTGCTCACTGTGTGTGAGGAAGGCAAGTATGTAAGTTTCATAAGAAAGAGCTACACAAATGACTTCTTAATGACTCATACTCTCATTCTGGGCTGGATCTAACACCATACAACAGGCCTCAAAGGGGGCACAAGCTGGTTTTACTTTCCCAAGAGGGGCTAGGGAGCAGCCCAGCCTCCACAAAAGTTTGGATAATGCTGTTCCACTGACTCAAAAAACTCTGCATTTCTGCTTGAGGGTATCCTGAAACCTAGCTACTCAAATCATCCCGTATGTCTCCTGCCTGCTCCATGCCAATGTTGGCTTTGCCTCATGCTGGGCAGAAGGGCAGTGGGGCAAACCCAAGGACTGTGGAATTGTGGGGGTGAATCTTGAAATCCCACTGCTCTAACCCCAGCAGGATGGGTCAGACGGTCATATCCTGAAGCTGTGGTCATGGTCCTTTGTTGTTTCAGAGTCCTTGAAGCACCTTCTCAAGTTTGACAGTTGGGAGGGCAGATGTTCACTCACAGGCCAATCTCCCTTAATTAATACTTTAGCGAGGTCGCAGTGGTAATGGAGAGAAAATGGCTAATCAGCTGCTCTCCAGGGAAGTTATAAAAGCATCCAACAGCACTCATACATGATGAGGATGTAGCCCCTAGGCATGTTCCAGCTGAGACTCTCAGCACTCCTGGGTATCCCCCACAGGAGAACATGGAAAAACAAAATCCAAGAGACATTTATGCTTTACAGAAGACAAGCAAAGGAAATGGCAGGACTTGGGGAAGTGTATTTTCAGCGATGG